GGGGGGGGTCTTCGACCTGAAAAATCAGGGGTTAGGATTTGCACCCGGTCGAAAGAAACCTTGCTATCGCAAGAGTAACTCCAGCTAGCTTCGCTAGCTTTCGTGATAAGTACATTCTCACTGTGGAGTCCAAATGTTCCATGCAAATCCTTCAAACAAGATCAGTTTAACCGTTTTAACCTACCTTCATGTGTTCTGCCCGCCTCCCGCCCCAACCCGTCCTCGCAGAGTCCGGCTGCTTGCCACGTTTACGTGTGCTGACCACGGGCGGTGCCTGGCATCTGTTCAAATTGGGCGCGACCTCGCAGAGAATGAAGGAATATGAGATTCCAATGTAGCCAATGTACATGATCTTTGCTGAAGCCCTCCCATTTGGATTGGGTACACTCTTCATGTGGGGGGTTTTGCTAGTTAAGAGTACCACCCTCCCTACGGAGCACCAGTCAGTTTTTGGTGAAATGTCCATCTGATGCTGCAAGTGTGGGCGAGATCAGTTGTAGCCTCACACCAGTGGTACAACATGATTCAGGAAGACCCATTGACAATCATTGACACCAGCCACAACTCTATAGTCGCTAGTGAAGGCAGAACCCCTGGCTACGTCACAGAGCCACTCATCGAAGCTTCTCGCAGTATCTTCGCTAAGTGACGGCAAGTTTGGGCGCGGCCATCTCCTCGCCATGCTCTTTTGCCTTCTTGGTAGCCTCCTGCAAATGAAGTGGCCAACATTCCGGAGCGAGAGAACATCCAGAATCTCATCACACATGGCCACATGGCACCAAAACTCTGGTCGGTCGCTGGGCGGCTTTCACTTTGTGGAACTTGATCTAGCCGGAACTATCGATCCATGAAAGTGAGGCCAAAGCATCCAACATCAAGTCAAACACATGCGCTCGCCTCGGAAGCCCTTGGGCTGGCGGCTTTCCGCTTGGTGGCCTCGGCGGCCGATGTTGCACGGTCAGGAGGGGCAATCCGGATGTTCTTGTGATCCTGCTGGGGAGGATGTGCAGCGATTAGATGCGATTAGACTAGCAGCTAGCATGAAGCTGTTTAGGCACACACCAGCAACAAAGTACCAGTACAACTAATTTAATAGACAACTAATACTACAAATAACTTATATAATTATATAACTTATAAACCAAGCAAAATGCCACGTGCTACTGTTGCTAGTGAGGACTCATCAAAGACTGATGAGGCTCGATACCAAACTCCATGGTCCAGTCATGCACGTCCACATGTTCAGCTTCTTCCCAACATCTTCCTACAGCCTACAGTTCATGAGGTCGCAGAAAGTTGTTCATCCTACTCTTCATGTTCCAAACATCCTTTCTCATCAGCTTCTTCGACCCTGGTTTGGTCAACGTCCCGACCGCCGAAAACGTGCCTTCCGGACCGCGGGCCTCGGTTGTTGTTTGAACATGGGAATGTGAGGGTTGCCATGTGCGGAGAGGTGTACTTGCAGGGACTTGCAAAGGAAAATAGAGGAAAGTCACTGAACTCAAATGCCTGAAGGACCCAGGAATCTACAGAAATTGGACAAATTCAACCGACTCATTCAGATGTTCCAGGTCGTGCTCGTTGATTTCCAAGGCCAATGCACCACACAAATCACACAGATTACGCCAAATGCTCCAAGTGTGGTTCCAAGTGCTCCAAATGATTTTGTCCTACTTAAAGGTTCAAGGCGTTTAGTATTTGGATGTGCTGCTTAGTGCTACTTAGGAAGTAGGCTATCTTGAGATATAACTTCTGTAAGTAAAGATATAATTGACTTTTCTATGACAACTACTTATCATCACTTACCAAGTATGACGCATCAGTTACTTTGTGTTGTAACTATATGAGCTACTTACTATCTAATATGTAACTACTTACGCTAAGTGAGCTAAGTACTTATCACACATACAAGCCCGCCCGCCAAGTCAAGGACAAGGTCAGGAACACAGATGTGGCGTGCAGCTGCTGGCGTCGCCCTACTTCAGGGTACGCCTCCCCCGTCGAGAGCCGTCGAGAGGTTGTGGTTGAACAGGACAACTCATGCAAACACGTCATGTGGAGTTTCACTCGCTTGCAGTTGCTTTTATAGGCGAAGTCGGCGGTGTTTTTTCGAATGGTCAATTCAGAATGTTTCTTGCTTTGACATGAGGTTTCCTGCATGTTGTCATGTGACATGAGATGGCCAGACGTGACATGGTTCCTTGTTTTCATGTGGCATGGCATGACATGACGTGGCACGACATGACATGGTTTCCTGTTTTCATGTGACATGACATGGCATGGTTTTGTTTTTTCATGTGACATGACATGGCATGACATGGTTTCCTGTTTTCATGTGACATGACATGGCATGACATGGTTTTGTTTTTTCATGTGACATGACATGGCATGACATGGTTTCCTGTTTTCATGGGACATGACATGGCATGACATGGTTTCCTGTTTTCATGTGACATGACATGGCATGACATGGGTTCCTGTTTCCATGTGACATGTGACATGACATGGCATGACATGACATGACACGGCCATGACATGACACGGCGTGACATGACATGTCATGTGGAGGACTCCGACATGTCCATGATGGAAAAGCACAAGCACTTCTACCGTCAGATGGGTGTTCAAGATTTTTACCGAGGACCCATGAAGGTGACATGACAAACATGTTCACATGAAGGTGACAATCTCAGAACATGAGTTTCATGCGACAAACACTCTGACTTTATACACACGCATGAGTCTCACAACAAACATGTTCACACACTTGACCAGCCAGTGGCAATCTCATAGGCTTTGTTCACACACTTCACAAACTTAATCACACTTGACCACTCCTCTCACACATGTTCACGAATCTCACAAACATGTTCACATCTGACAACTCCTTCACTGCGCCGGGCATCATGGCACTTCCTCGTCACGTGCTGGATGGAATGCAAGAGCTCCTGCACAAGGAGCCTGAGAAGTTGGTGAAGACCGTGCAGTCCTGCCTGGACTTTTTGACGGAGCACGGCATGGTCACGACTATGAAGCTGCCCCCACTGGCAGTTGGAGTTCACCCTTCCAACCGGGACGGGTGTGGAGTGAACCCATCTGATGTTCACGAGCTCATCGACAACATCAGTGGCGTTGGATGGGTGGATTCGAAAGTGAATGGCATAGCAGTTGAGGTTGAGGATTCGCACCGGAACTTCAACCAGCAGATCTGCTTGGCGGCGGCTGGTGCCTTGGGGACGGTGGATTCCATGGCCTTGAAAGCTGTTACGCTATGTGGGAGTCACACCAATTATGCACTTCGCCTGATCGTGCAGGAGGTTGCGCATGAAGGAGGCGCACTCACCCAGGACGGCAAACTGAGCCTGAGCTTGGTCCAGAAGCACGACCAGGCTTTCTACAAAGCCGCTACTACCGGCATTACGTTCAAGGTGCTGAACAAGGAGGTCGCCCGTCAATGGCCGGACCTCCTGCCAATGATCCAGCAGTATGGCAATGCAAGTTTACAGAAACAAGAGCACGAACTTCAGATGTTGTGCCGCCTGCATGCTTTGTACGTGGCGGAACATGCAAAAGGGGGCGCAGTGTCGTTCGCTGAGATCAAACGGAAGGCTTTGCAGAGTCGACCGCCTTGCGCCGCTGCAGTGCCAGCTTTGTACAGCTTTGTTCTCAAAGCTAGTGGTGGCAGTACAGGTGAGCTCCTCAAGGAGACAGAGCGTTTCGTGAGACAGCGATGTTCTTCGGCGAGGTCGTTGGGGGCAGATCTTTGGGAGGTCTTGGCTCATGAGCCTAAAGGTTTCGCTTCTTCTGGCTCTTTGGCCTTGTTCAGACATGCAATGGTGAAGCTGGCCTACTCGTCGAAGAAGATGGGCAAGGCCGAATGCAAGAAGATGTTCAGTCACGACATCAAGCGTGATGTGGTCACGGCAGATGCTTTGATGAACGAACTTCGTTCACTGGCAAGGCACCACGCAGATCCGAGTACTCCACAGGTGTTCATTGCCCAAGGCTTGACTGACCAGATGTTGGCAAGCTTTGCCATCAAGGTTCGTCTTCCAGACGAAAAGCTATATGAATCGTTCGATGAGATTTGCCATGACTTTGTCCTGGTCTTGAGGCACATGACTGGCCAGCCTGTCCCTTCTCGATGGGAGGCAGGGTTGAAGGAAGAGGAGAAGGCCAAGGTCAAAGAGAGTGATTCTCAGGCCTCCCTGCGGGAGCTGAAAGAAGATGGAACCTTCAAGGATCCGGCCAAGGTGCTTGCTGAGATGGGGTTCCCGGTCGGATCGCACATTCGCCGCAAGAGTGACAAGACAGAAGCCGTGATCACGGAAGTGGTGGAAGACAATGTGAAAGTCTCGATTGATGGAGGCTTCTTCAAAGTCAGCATCAAGGAGTCAACTGTTTTTGTTTTTTTTCAGGACGTATTTCATCTCATGGAGTTTTATTTATCTCATGCAATGGTAGGCCACAAGGGTTCAGCTTTCAATTCATGCAATCACATGTCCATGTTTCCTATGTCCATGTCATGAGAATGATCTCACGGTCACGTTTTCTCATGGACATGTATAGTGTGCACTCAGGAATTTCATGCCACGTCATGTCATGTCAGACCTTCACAAGAGTTTACAGTCAAAACACGCCATATCATGGACACAGCTCATGCGCCATAACACGCAGGACATTATGAATGGGATGTGGGCTACCTTCACTCCGCGTCCTGAGCGTGAGGTATTGCAAGATCTTGCCCAGTACGCCACGAGCCAGAGCTGGAACTACGAGGCCTCTTTGACTGCTGCCAAGATCACTTTGGAACTTGAGGACCTCTCGAAGAAGTACAAGCAGGATCAATGGCACGCCCTTGAGCTTCAACTGAAGCCAGGCAAGGTTTTGCAGGTCGTACAGCCCATCCAGAAGCACAAGCTCATCTTGGCGCCAACAACTTCAAAAGTCATGTTCAAGTGGGAGGGAGTTCCTGCCGCTGGCGTGAAGGTTGAGACCGACTGGGAGGATGCTTGCTCTTTCTTCCTGCTCGCAGATTCCAAGTTGCCAGGAGATGATGAGCCAGAAGATCCAAAGGATTGCAGCTTCTGCCCGTACTTCAGCGTGGAGAAGACCAGCAAGGAGGACGAGTCCAACATGGAGGTGTTCTGGGCCCATGGGCGAGACAGTACTTTGAGGTTTCCTCTTCTCCGCAATGCGAGGAAGCTCGAGACTGGAGAGCGGCTGATGATTTGGCAGGAGAAAGTGTCTCAGGCAGTGGAGCCTCTTGCTGCAGCTTCACCGGCCAAGCGGCCTGCACCGGAAGGCGGCCGCGCCAAGAAGAGGAGCAAGTGACGGCCAGTGATGGCAAAGCTCCACGGTGACGATTTTGCACTATGACCGATCTCCCATGTCAAAAGATAAATGCGCATGTCATGGATTTGCAGTCGTGGTTGTCATTTGTATAGGCATGTCATGGCATTTCTGTGCATGGATCATGTGTTTATAAGACACAGTTCAGTTGAGACTCTCATGAAACATGTCTTGTCACATGGGTTTTGTTTTCATGTCATGCTGCAACACATGGGTGATGTTTTCATGTCATGCTGCAATGTCAATGATACACGCCTAAATCCCAGCAGGTTCAAAAGTATCATCGTTCGTGTATATATACTGCAGATTCGTTTGGTGCCATGATGCGTGCAAGCTTTGAAGTGGGGTCAGTTTTGCAAGTGGCATGGGCTGGCCGGAAGGGGCGGGAGACCTGGGTTCCCAAGCAGAAGGTGGTGGAAGGCAAGACATTCTTCTGCTTGGACAAGTGGGAGCATCGTGCCGTGTTCTTCTTCACAGACACCAAGCTTGACTTGAGAAAAGGGAAACACACTGGCTCGATCGATACGCCATTCTTGGATGAGCTGCTCAGCCAAAGGAACCGCGCTGCAGATGAAGCAGTGCAGAATGCGGTTGAAGTCCCTGTCGATGGCGAAGATGAGCAGCAGCCTCCCAAGAAGAAGAAGAGGGCCAAGCACACGATTGAGAAGCAGCACTTGGCCCCAGAGATTCTCACGATCGAAGTTGAGGGTGAGACATTTGAGTGTTTGTTTGAGGGTTGCCACTCGTCAGTCATTTGGCTGGAGATGAGTGATGAAATCCTCTCTCATGTGGGCAAGAAGCTGGCTGCCTCGAATTCGAAGGCTCGAAAGTCACGGCCCTCATCACGGTAGTTGTGCTTCTCATGATTGTTGAAGACACGCAGCACGTCAATGAGAGACATCTCACGATGCCACGAGGAACAGAAAAAAAGTTCGTCATGTTGGTGGGTTTGTCATGTCAAACGAATGCATGCATGGATCATGTCATGTGAGTGATTTGTTATGTCAAACGAATGCATGGACCATGTCATGTGAGTGGTTTGTCATGGCCA